GGGCAAGGGTTAGGAAAACACCAGAGAGGGGTCCTAGGCTGTAGGAATGAGCACTGTTATCGGTGACGTCGTTGCTGCGATTACCAGAGTGTGTGTTGAGGGGTAGGGGGCGGAGGGGATGTCGCGGGGAACTGGACCCGGTCAAATCAGAGACCCAGCTAGTGCCAAGGTCACCAAGAGCTGTCAGCGGCCAGAGGTCACAGGAGAGGTCACAGGGAAAGGAGGGAGGCAAGGACTGGAGAGCGCCGGCCTGTGCGCAGTGAGGCCCCGGGCCGCTCCTTACCCGCGCGGGGCGGGACACCTCGCCAAACCCCAGCCACCGCCGCAGCCATCGCTACCGGAAGTTCCCAGGAGTGCTGCGCAGAGACGGAAGAAGCTAAGGATTGTGGGGCAGCAGGGAGAACCCGGGGCCGGAAGCAGTGGGCGAGCCGCCGGATATAGCCTCTCTCCGCATGCGTAGAGCTGAGGCTGGGTCACCCGCCCTCACGCCTCCCGGACCTGGCGTCCTGTCTCCTAGCAACGGCGCGAGAGGTCGAGGAATCGTTCTTCTCTTTCCAGTCCTTTCAGTTTAAGGCCAGTAAAGCCACGCCACGCACTTGTGACTCCAGATCCTTCCCTCCGATTTACCCGTATCTTCCACCGCACCCCAGAAAAATTGGCTCTGAACTAACCAACCCCCGTCCCTGCCCTCTCGGTCTTCCCTCCAACCTAGGTTCAGTCATCCATCCCAACCGGCCGTCTGAGCTTCTCTGTTCCTCTTCGTCCACCAGCCTCAAGCAGCCGCTGTTTGTTCTAGGTCATGCCAGGAGATGAGGAGGAAGGTGAGTTGGTGGATAGACAGCTGGACAACAGTCAGGTCAGGTCTCCAACAATGAAGTCGGGTAACAAAGGGGTTCATCCTTTCACAGCTGAGAATGCTTCCGAAACTCCAGAGGAAAAGGGAGTCTGCATTACTGAAGACCTTATCACCAAGCGGAACTTGACCTTCCCTGAGGATGAGGACCTGTCAGAAAAGATGTGAGTGGATGGGAAGGAAAGGGATGGGATGTTAGCAGAAAACGGAAACGCCGATGTTCGGTTTGCTGAGCTACCCTGATTTTGTAACTCATGTTTGTCTCTTTAGTTACTCCACACACCAAACTCAGTCATACTTTACAATTGGTTTTCCCTTCTTAAAGATGTTTTTCTTTTCTTCCCGTATGTCCTCAGCTGCCCGAGAGAATGCTGTCACCACCTCTTAGCAAACCCAAAATTTCTCGGCCCGGTTCTCAGCCTGGCCTCCCCACACTGTTGTTGCCCAACTGATCGTTATAAATGATAAATCTAGTTACTCCCCTGGCGGAAACTTCCTCGGCAACCTATTACAGCCAGAATAAAATGCAAAGTGCATGAACTGACCTTATTTCCAGCCACATTCTACACAATATCTCACACCATATTCTTGCCCGGCATTACTCAGAAGTGAGAGCAGCTTCACGTTACCTGGGAGCTTGCTAGAAATGAATTTCCACTGGGGAGTTAGCTCGTAGAGTGCTAAGCACCACATAAAACTGGCCGTACTTCGACCCCAGCACTCAAGAGGTAGAGGCAGGAAGATCAGAAGTTCAGAGACCATTCTCCATAGCTACACAGTGAGCCTGAGGCCACCCTGGGCTACATGAAGCCCTGCCTTTGAGGAGGGGGAGAGGCAGAGAGAGAGATATCCATCTCAAACCTACTGAATTCGAATCCACATTTTCCAGCACCCAAAGGGTTCACAGGCACATTCAAGTTCAAGAAGGCTGACGTAGCACATGCATGTACTAGCTACCATGGGGCCCCTTGTCAGCTCTGTTCTTTCTCAGTACCGCCAACAGAGAACCATGTGTCTGAGACCTAGACACCACCACCAGGAACTAGCTGTTCTTGACATCTCCTCAAAACCACACAAGCCCTCCTCCTTTCTTGGAGACTGGTCTCCTCTTCCTCCCACCCACCATCTTACTAAGAGGCCACAGGTGTGAACTACCACGCTGCTCGCTCTCCTCCAGGTTTCAGACTCTTGACGAACTGGAGACGGTCCGCCTGGATCGGGAAGGGATTACTTCCATTGGGAACTTAGAGAGCCTCCGCAATATTCACAGCCTCTACCTGCAGTCGGTAAAGTCCTGCCCTCATGCTTCCTGTTCTCTCCTTTCTGTGAACCTTGTCTAATCCAAACAGCCAAATGGTTCTTTTTTTTCTTTCTCTTTTTTCCATTTTTGGTGTTTAGGCAAGGAGAACATTCCCAAATGAATCGGGAAATCTCCTGAATTGAAACACTAATTTCTGGCTGGGCGGTGGTGGCACACACCTTTGATCCCAGCACTTGGGAAGTCAAAGGCAGGCGGGATCTCTGTGAGTTTGAAGCCAGCAGAGTGAGTTCCAGGACAGCCAGGGCTACACAGAGAAACTCTGTCTCAAGAAAAGAAAAAAAAAGAAAAGAAAACAAAACTTGATTTCCTCCTCCACCTCACCAGAGCTCTTGACCATCCTCTAGAATCACCATTGTTCAGACACTTTTCTCGGTCTAGAGTCTAGACCTTCCAGACTGTAGAAGGTCCTCTCAGGCTGAAGCCTGTTTCTAATGGGGGTAGTGGCCTATGCCTGTCATCCCAGTACTTGAGGAACTCACAAGGCGGAAGCAGAAGGATCACAAGATTGAGGCCACCCTGGGCTACACAGGAAGTTTCAGTCTGCCCTACACAAAACCCTGCCTTAAAAGTAAATACAGATCTAAGTGTAGTGGTGCATGCCTCTCGTCCCATCAGTTGAGAAACAAAAGCAAGCAGATCTTCATAAGGTGGAGGCCAGCCTGCTCAACGATTTCCAGGCCAGCCAAGGATACATAGAGTGACTGTGCCTCAGTGGATGAATGAATGAGCAAATGAACAAATAAATTAATGGCCGGCAAGATGGCTCCGTAGGTTCAAAGTGCTTGCCGCCAAGCCTGGTGATCCGAGTTCAATCCTAGGACCCACGTAATAAGAGAACCGATTCTATCGGTTTTGTTTTCTGAGACCTCCACATATGTATGCTCACAGCCACACAGTGAACCCCAAAAATGTCATTAAAATGTTTAGAATAAACAAGTGTCCAGTCACTGCCTTGATGAAAAGATTTTCCTATATCCTGCATCCTTCAGGCCTTTTAGAGGCTATGCAGTGCTGGTTGGGTGATCTTCAGCCTTTCCTAGGATGAATACAGCCAGGGACCTTACACTTCTAGACAAACCTTGTGAATCAGCAAATATACAATTATTGTTCCTTCTGGGTTTACAGGACCCCAATGAGGCCTTTTCCATTTCCCTAGTGGTCCCTTGGTTCCCTTCTCCAGTCCTTCTTTGGATCTGCTCATTGAACTAGCCCCAAGTTTACACATTAACCTTTGACCGGAGGAAACAAATCATCTTTCCCCAAGGAAATGACATCCAGCCCACTCAGTCAGGTTGAAGAGTCACTCTTAAAGTGCAATGGCTGCAGCTGAGAGTAGCCATGGTCTTAGGGCTTCACCCCTTAAGAAGGGCCCCCTCCCAGATGACCTTGACTTGATTTCCCCACCTTGGTTTCTTCGCGCAGAATAAGATCCAGCGAATTGAGAACCTGGCATGCATCGCCTCCCTGCGGTATGTGGCACCCAGGCAGCAAGGGACTAAGGAGTGGGTGTCAAGAAACTGGCTACACCCCTAAAACTGGCTTGAAGCTCTCCAAGCCTGGCTCCTTATCGGCTCTGAAGCCTACCTCTGCCTTCCTCACCCCACAAGCTTTTGTGTCCCCACTTTTGTGTCAGCCAGCTGCCTACACGGGGCAGCCCAGGTACCCCCGGTGTTCCTAGGCTGTAGCTCAGTCTTGTCTCTGTCCCTCCCTCTTGCCCTGCAGCTTTCTGTCTCTGGCAGGAAACCAAATCAAGCAGGTGGAAAACCTCCTTGACCTCCAGTACCTCCAGTTTCTGGACCTTTCTGAGAACCTGATAGAAACGCTAAAGCTAGGTAGGAAAGCCCTGCCCTGGCCATAGGATGTGTCCCACGTGGGGTTGTCCCTCCTCCTGGCTCCGAGGTTTCCGTCATAGTCACCCCCCCATCTCTCTTCGGGGGGGGGGGGGGCAGAGCAGGCATTGAGACCCTCATCCTTTCTGCTGTACAGATGAGCTCCCCCAGAGCCTTCTCATTCTCAACCTGTGTGGAAACCCCTGTACCAACCAGGACGGCTACAGGTGAGGAGGGACTGCAGGTGGGAGTAGAGGTGCTAGATGAGCAGGAAGCCACGCTCATCCTGCAACCCTGACGTATCTACTGCGCCCTCTGCCCCCGCCCCCCAACTGAGTCTGTCACTTTCCAGTCCCATACCCAGCACCTCACAGTAGCCAGCCTTTTGCTCTTTGGGGCTGACCCCAGGCCCATCTTCTAGCCACAGCCATCCAGGTGTGGGCACTCCAGCACACATGCCCTCCCGGGTTCCACAGCAGGGATGTCCTCATGGGTAGTCTCTGTTCCTTCTGCCTCACAGGAAGATGGTGATAGAAGCCCTGCCACTGCTCCTGGACCTGGACAAGCAGCCTATCATGGAGCGTTGGACCTCAGACGAGGACAAATCCTCAGATGAGGAGGAGGAATTTCCGGAGCTGAGTGGCCCCTTCTGTGCAGACCGAGGTGACTATTTTCCGAAGCTGGCAGCCTCCCCAGGCTCATACTGCCCTAGGGGGCCGGGGCTGGGGAGGACAACACTGACACCATCCTAGGCAGCTGGCTCTGTGGAGACGTCTTCTCTTCAGTTCTGTGGTCTCCTCCGCCCCAGGCCCTTCATGTTTCCAGATGCCACTCAAGGGGGTGGAAAGTGTGTCACCTCCCCCAACATGGCCCACAGGCCCACCAGCTCTCCACGATAGAATCATTGATCCAGCTCTACCGGGAACCAGGGCGGGATCTAAATAGGAGACTCGGGGGACTCATCTGTTCCCAGCCCCATGCTCCTCCTAACTAAGAACGCCCAGAGGTTCACCAGGAACACCCCTGAGCCCAAGACCCTCCTGCCGAGCCCAAGGCTCTACCTCTCCTCCCTCCTCCCCCAGGATTCTTCAAGGACTTGGACCAGGAAATGCAGCAGCATCAGGAATGCAGGCAGCGGGCGGTCCTGGCAGAGCACTTGTCAAGGATGGAGACACAGCCTGTCCTCACAGACCTGCCCCTGCTGCCCACGGCACCCATGGCCGGGGACTGCAGCCCTGCTGTCGCTGCACAGCCTGAGGAGGAGTCACCCCCTAAGGCTGCCTCCCCAACCCCGGCTGCCTCCTCTACCAAGAAACAGGTTCCCAGGAGCCAGAAAAGCTCTGGCCACACAAGGAAGGAGGCTCCAGCAGCCACAGCCCCCAAGACCTCTTCAGCTGTAGGCCTCAGCAAGACAAAAACCACAACCAAAAGAAGCACAAAGTAATGCAGCGCCTCTGTGCACTCGCCCTTCTTCTCAGGCCCGCACCTGTGGCAGGGGCCCCACTCCCAATAAAGTGCCTCTGGGTTTGGAATGCTTTTCATGTCACATGGAGAAAGTCAAGGAAAGGAATCAGAACCAGAAACCCAAACCCCAGTCCCCCAAAGCAGCTTACTCTTTCAGGAATAACCCAAAGGGCTGGCATCTCTCTGTACCTCAAGTGAGCCAGGAGTGGGACTGCCTCACAGAGGTATAGCTGTCTCATGTTGAGAGGGCTTTGTGGCCTGTAAAGACAGTGTCTCACTGTGTAACCCTGGATGGCTTAGGACTCTCAGATATCCCCCTGCCTCTGCCCCCTGAGTAATTTGGTTAAAGACACACCACCATGCAGTCCAAGCTAAGGACTAAAACCTTGGGAATCCTTAGTGTCCCCAGATAGCAGCCAGCTACCTAGTGAAGCATGATCTTGGGTCTTCATGAAACCACCACCACCACCACACGAATTAGGTCCTATCACGCACACCATTAGGATTTATAGCTTGGCATCAAAGGTCTAGCAACCAGCCTGCTGGGAACTGTCCTTTGCATTGGCTCAGCTCGCCCCAACAGACCTGAGATCCAGGTTCCCAAGTAAGGAAATAAAACACATTTATTAAGCCAAAGGCTGTACCAGCCACTCTGAGCCTGGATGAGGGCGTGAAGGGATGGTTGTGATCCTGTGCCTTCCTCAGCTCACAGCAGCCAGTCCCAGATCAAGCATCCGTGGGCCAAGAGGTACTGCATGCTTATGCATAGACCTGGCACTCCTTCTCCACAAAGGCCTGAAAGAGGCTGCCCAGCCCCTGCAGAGGTGGGGCCTGCTCTCCAGTAAGCAGTCTTCTGAGAGCCTCCAGGCCTTCCCGCTCCAGGTCCTGCTGCTTGCGCCAGAGCTGTCGTCCTTGCTCCTGTCGGGAAAGGCAGAGGTAACGAATGTGGACCCTTTTCCCGAAAGGCAGGAGAGACCGGAGAGTGGCTGAAGACCCCACCTGCCCACAGCAATCCAGCCTCCTTCCTGCCCTCAGCAGAGCACCCAGGGTCACCTGCTCATCCTCCATCAGCTGCAGGGCTGCCTGGTGCCCACGATAGAGCAAGTGTCGACGGTCCACCTGGCTCTGGAATCTGGGCAGGATCCGAACGGGGTCCTGGGCTCCAAAAGTGGGGGACAGCACCTGGGGGGCCTGGGACACCCCCACTCCAAAGATGAAAGGCTTGAACACTGACCTAATGAGACACGGGTTGAAGCACTGAAGTAGCAGGAGGGGACACATCCCATCCCGTCCCCTGACCGGGTACGTCATCATCACTCACCTGGAGGGGTCTGGGGTGGCTGTGAGGAAGTGGACACAGGGCTTTGTGGGATCCTGGGGCAGGACCGACACCATACTGGCTGTGGTGCGGAAGCCTCCAGAGTCCATGCAGATGCCGCTCTCCTTGTCCCTGAGGATGCCCATCATCACCTCTGCCGTGATGCTGCCTGCTGAGGAGGGAGTGGCCAGGGCTCAGCGAACGGGCGTGGGAGAGACAGACCAGAGCTGGGAAGCTGTGGTCCTCTCGCCCACCACTCACAGACCTTGTCGCTGCTGCAGCAGCTCACAGCCGGCCCGGAAACGGGCCTTGGCAGCCTCCATGCGCACTGGCTGCTGGGTCAGGGAGAAGACCTCTGCAAAATCAAAGGCGCCCTGCCCAGTCCACCAACCCTGGGCCTTGGCGTGGCTGCGGAGCTCTGGGTGTTCCGCCGAGATGTCTGTGCCAATGCTCAGCTGGTTGGAAATGTTCCGGGCACCCCCTGTGAAGGAAGAGGGACTTGTTTTTCTATTACAGAGCACCCACCATGTACCAGGCCCTGGGTGAGGAACTCAGATGATGGTTTTAAGGAGCACAACCTGCCCTCAAGGGGCCTATGACTTCCTAACCACACAGGGAGATCCAGGAAGGCTTCCCAGAGGAAGGGGCAGGATGAAGCATGGGAGCATTTGACCAGAGGTAGGAGAAAGAGAGTTCCTGAGTGGGCTCATTTCTAGTCTCCCAGGGTGCCCCAAAAGCAAGACCCTCCCTGACCCACTAACCCTCTCCCACTGTCCAAGGCAGTCAGGGAGAAGAAAAGCGGTAGCCTCAAGAGGGGGGAGATCAGTATCTCCAGAAGTCTATGTTCCCTCTCAGAGGCAGGCTCTATGCCAGACTCCTACCCTGGATCTGCTGGGCAGCCCACAGCCTCCCAGCCGTCTCCAGCACCCACGCCTCTGTCCGGTCAGCCAGCAGGAAGGTGTTGTGGTAGCAGAATGGCACAGGCTCTTCCCGGCAGCTGCCCCCCTGCCCATAGCGTTCCAGTAAGCCTGCAATCACATGCACAGCCTCCTTGGCAGTACCGCTCCGTTCCAAAGCCAGCCTGACAGGTCAGAGGGCAGAAGTGATCCAGAGAGGCCTGAGGAAAAGCCCACGTCACACAGAAATCCCAGCAGCAAAGATGGTATTAAAGAGCCACGCAGGCCAGGCCTGGAGGCACAGAGCTGTGATCCCAATGAAGACTTGGAGGCAGGAGGCTCAGAAGTTCATCTCCACACTACATGATTCCTATCTCAGAACAAACAGAAAAGACAAAAAAAAAAAAATTCAAAGCAAAATGAAAAAAATCATCCAGGTTGGTGGTAAACACCTTTAACCACAGCCCTTGGGAGGTGGATCTCTGTAAGTTCAAGGCCAGCCTGCTCTACATAACAAATTCTGGGCCAGTCAGGGCTACACAGTGAGACCCTGTCTTGAAGCAAAATCAAACAAAACAAACAAACATTAAACAACAACAACAAAATGTATGCCAGTGGTTTCCAAGCTTTGAACTCAAGAGTTTCACAGAAAGGTCTGGAACACTGTCTCCAAGTAAGAAGTGCCTGAACCTCTCCTCTGCCCCACACTTATAAGTTTTTTTTTTATAAACGGGAACTCTCCGGGGTGTTTCATTTAACAAAAATAGTACTGAGCCTGGCGTGGTGGCATACACGCAGGCGGATCTCTGAGTTCAAGGCCAGCCTGGTTTACAGATCAAGTTCCAGGAAAACCGGGGCTACAAAAAGAAACCCCGTGTCAAAACAACAACAACAAAAAAAAGATATTGAAAAATTAAACCACTCAGGGCCAAGGGAGGCTTTTTATCAGACCGATAAGACAAAAAGGGACACTTCAGCCTCCTCAGGCTGAAGGCCGTAAGGCCGACAGAGGCAAGCCCAATGGACCCGTGTGAGTGTGTGTGTGTGTGTGTGTGTGTGTGTGTGTGTGTTAGAGGGGAGGGGAGGGCGGGGCGTAAGGAGGGGGTCTGTACCTGAGTAGATCCATACCCAGCAGGGCTTCCCCCTCCCCAACAGGCTCCTTGGTCCACACTGCTTCGTTGCCAATGCAGACGCCATGCTCGTTGGCGCCCATCTCAGCCCCCCACAGCCAAGAAGGGCGGCTCAGAATCACAGCGTGTGTCTTCCACACTTGTTCCACCTCGATGTAGGTACACTAGAGGTGAAGAGAGAGAAGGACTCACTGGGGAGACAAATAAATAAATAAAATAAATCCAGGACCTGCATTGGCCCCGCACGTTGTCAGCCACTTTACAGAACGGACTTGAGAAAGGTCTAGGCTCCCACGTCCGTCACACACGAATAAACTCGGCAGAGGCTGACTGGACTCGAGGTCCAGGCTGGTGGACTTGAAGTCCAGGCTCTTTCTCCGCGCCTGCCCCCATCCCAGCGGCAAGCAAACGAAGGTCCGGCAACAAACCTCCCAGCTCTTCCTAAGCTCTGGCCCACCTGGAGCCGGCTCCCAGGGGTGTGGGTGCCAGCCGGTATAAACACCACCTCCTGCACCTCATCCCGGGGACGGTCCGAGTTCTTCGCAAAGATCACGGCTGGGACGGCGGAGGCCGGGGGCACGGCGACAAAGCAGTCGCAGGAACAAGGGGCGTCAGGGCTCGACGAGGCCATCTGCGAAGAAGTGGGGTGATCGCGTCCCTCCGGAGCCACCTCTCCGCCACCCTGGCCGCCAGCGGGGCCTAGCACGCCCCTCCCGCCACCTGGGCACTCCGAGAAGATGCCTGACAGCAGCACTGTGCACGCGCTCCAGGTGCGGTGGGCACTAACCGTGCACGTGGCTCAGACTCAGCAGCCAACGCAGACTCTGCAAGTCAGGAGCGTCCGCTTTAGAGCCCTCCCCGGCTGTTGGGGTAGTTTCTAGGCGCTAACGCCCCCACGAAGAAGCGCAAGCTCCTGCGCATCTGCGCATGACCACATTCGTGCGTCTCTTCCGCCAACCCTTTCCAAGTCCTCCTTACCTCTACCTTTCACCCTCTCTGCCTCCAAGACCCTCAGACCCGGTGCCAGGAGCCACGTCCTCCTCTTCAGATCAGATCTGTTCCTCTGGACCCAGCTTCCCAGGTGACCTGGAAGGCCTTTGCCCCCGGGGGCGGGGCCGGAACAGAACGCCTGCAATGCCACCGTCTTCCACGAGGGTGCGCTCTAGCTAGCACCGCTTCTTGGAGCGCACTGACCTTTCAAATCCCGCTTGAGAGTCCAGGGCTTCCCTTTCAGGCTTATCAGATGGAAGCGGAGCTGAAGGAGAAAAGAAGCCAGGGTGAAAAGAAAGTATTCCCGAAATAGCCACCACTGCTGGGGGTTCCGGAGATTGGCGAAGAACTTTAGTTACCTGTATCCTGATTTGAATTTCAAAGACTCAATCCCAGTAAAACTGCTCAGACACAAGACTGGAGGCATACGAATTCCTTAAATTACTGAATCCTTTCTTTTCTTTCTTTTCTTTCTTTCTTTCTTTCTTTCTTTCTTTCTTTCTTTCTCTCTTTCTTTCTTTCTTTCTTTCTTTCTTTCTTTCTTTCTTTCTTTCTTTCCCCCCTCCCTCCCTCTCTCCTTCTTCCTTCCTTCCTTCCTTCCTTCCTTCCTTCCTTCCTTCCTTCCTTCCCTCTCTCTCTCTCTTTCTTTCTTTTTTTTTTTTTTTTCCCAAGGTAGGGTTTCTCTGTAGCCCTGGCTATCCCGAAACTAGCTCTGTAGACCGGGCTGGCCTCAAACTCAGGGTTCTGCCTGCCTCTGTCTTCTGGGTGCTGGAATTAAAGGCATGCGCCATCACTGCCTGGCATAAAAATAAATCTTTTAAAAATTAGTGAAATAGCCTGGCAGAGATGGAGGATGTCTGTAAGTTCAAGACCAGGCTGGTCTACAGAGCAAGTCCCAGGACAGCCAGCACTACAAAAGAGAAGCCCCGGGCTGGAGAAATGGCGTGGAGGTTAAGAGCACTGACTATTCTTCCTAAAGGTCCTGAGTTCAATTCGCAGCCACCACACCCTTTTCTGGCTTCCCCCCCAACACACACATAATTACAAAATTAAGGAATTTATTTTACGTGTATAGATGTTTTGCCCCTGTGTGCATCTGTGCACCACATGTGTGCCTGGTGTCCACGGAGGCCAGAAGAGAGCATCGGACCCCCTGAAACTGGAATTACAGACGATCGTGAGCCACTGTACGGGTGCCGGGAATCGAACCCAAGTTCTCTTCAAGACCAGCCAGTGTTCTCAAACCCTGAGCTATCGCTCTTGTACCTAAGAGGTCTTTGTTTGGTTGGTTGGTTGGTTGGTTTTTTTGAGACAGGGTTTCTCTCCTTTTTTTTTTTTTTTTTTTAAGACTTATTTATCTATTATGTATACAGTCTCCTGCCTGCGTGTGTGTTTGCAGGCCAGGTCTCATTATAGATGGTTATGAGCCACCTGACATGACGCTAGAGAGCAAACCCAGGTGCTCTGCAAGATCAGTGTCCCCTCTAACTGCTGAACCGTCTCTCTGGCTCCTTTTCTTAATTTTCAGCCTTAGATGTCATATCTTGGGATCTGTCCCGATATATTGTTTAGTATATTTTTGCAGTTTGGACTTTGGAAGATTGTTGTGTGTACCCATGTGTGCTTGCACGTATGTGCATGCTTGTGCGGACTAGGGGTCAATGCTGGGAGTTTTCCTCCACCTTATTTTTTTTGAGACACGGCCTCTTGTTAAGCCCATATCTTGCTGTTTTTGTTACACTGCCTGGCCGGCCAACCCAGGGGGCCTCCTGTCTCCACCTGCCAGGGCTGGGGTTGTAAATTCATGGGGTGCTGGACCTAGAACTCAGGCACCTTATTGTCCGAACCCTTACTGACTGAACCATCTCCCTGGCCTCCATGTGCCCCTCCCCCCATGTCACAAGGAGACGTACACAAAACCAGTCTGTCTCCAAAAACTCAAGTTCTGCTCTGCCCCTTAAGTGCTTAAGAGTATAGAAAGATAAACTTGAAAGGGGATTTAGAAATTTCAGTTGCAAAAAAAAATGTAACACTTCTGCCTTCTGCTCACAATGAAAATGAGACAGCAAAGGAGAAACTTGGGCTAAGAGGGACATACAGTGTGGAGCTAAATTCAGACTTTAAATGCTTTCGGGTTTTTCAGTCCATTTGTTCTCTATGAATCATCTCTTCAGCCGACACTGAAGAAAATGCATCTTCTACAGGTATGTGCCCATGACCTCTAGGAATTACTTCTAGGGATTACATGGAGTCTGTAATACTTAGCCATCTTTTTTTTAATATTTATTTATTTTATTGTGTATACAATGTTTTGCCTGCATGTACACCTGAATGTGAGAAGAGAGCACCAGATTTTATTATAGATGGTTGTGAGCCACCATGTGGGTGCTGGGAATTGAACTCAGGAGCTCCGGGAGAGCAAGCAGTGCTCTTAACCTCTGAGCCATCTCTCCATCCCTATACTTAGCCATCTTAATTCTTGCAGTACATACATATAGAGGCATGTGTGTGCACACATTCTGTGATTTTTTTTAAATAAAATTTTCTGTATCTGGGCTGGGGTTGTAACTCAGTTGACAGAGTGCTAGCCTGGCATGCATGAGCCCTGGATTCAAAGCGAGGCATTGCATAGACTGGGCATGGTGGAGGGCACCTGGAATTCCAGGAGGCAGAAGGCTCGGAAGTTTGTGGGTATCCTCAGTTACATAGGGAGTTCAATGCCAGCCTGGGCAGGAATCTTTGGGTCAAAATAAATTTGTTTTTCAGTGTTCAGATTTCCCCTCTCTTTGCTTTCTTAGCACTTTTTTTTTTGGGGGGGGGAGGCTATTGTAAAAGGCATTGCTTTCTGATTTCCCATTTTGAATATTTTGAGGTTAGTATTAGAAATCTCTCTCTCTCTCTCTCTGTTTATCAAGACAAGTAGCCCTGGCTGTCCTGAACTCACTCTGTAGACCAGGCTGGCCTGAAACTCAGAAATCCACCTGCTTCTACCTCCCAAGTGCTGAGACTAAAGGCGTGTGTCACCACTGCCTGGCTGGAAATTTTTTTTCAAGATCTGGAGGGACAGCTCATTGGTTAAGAGCATTTGCTGCCCTTGCAGAGAAGACCAGAGTTGGGCCCACAGCTCCTGGAACAGATAGTTTACATAGCCTGTAACTCCAGCGGGTCCAACGCCCTCTTCTGGCCTCAGTGGGCACCAACAGTCAAGTACACACGCTCCTTGCACATATAATTACTAAATAAAAACAAACCTTTAGAAAAATAAAACAAACAATACAGTTAAGTAACTTAAATTATCCTTATGGTTCCTGGCTTGTGGCTACTCATTCGACCTCACTGGGACTGCCTCTTTGGAATTCAAATCAGGACGAAGCTGACATTCTCTCTAATCTTCAAAATACTACAGTCATCTGTAGCTCCAGTTTCAGGATGTTTGACACCCTCTTCTAGTCTCTAAGGGCACGACACACGTGTGTACATACATACATACATGTATTGGCTATTGGCGTGTGTGTATTCGTATACATCAGCATTTTTGAAAGAAATATTTCTTATTGTTGACCGTGTTCTGTGCCTTTATTATTTAATTAGTTCTAACAGTTCTTTGGTGGAGTTTGTTTCTAAGATTATTTTTGAACCTACATCGCTAGTAAGCTCATCCATAAGGCAGTATAGCATTAATGCGGACCTAAGAGCAGCTTCTGTACGTCTTGGAGGAAGGGTGCCAACTTGCCATTGGATGCCATTACACCTCAAACCTCAGTGGAGGCTGTACCTACCCACAGGCGTTCAAGGCGCCCTGCGGGGAAAGCAGGTTCCTCTTCTGCACTTCCCCAGATGTCCGCTGGGGGGCGGGACAGGCCGAAGGAGAAGGAGGCAGACGGAAGAGCAGGAGACGCCAGAGCGCCTCTGCAGCACCGCCCATCCGTCACATTTCCACTTTTGACTTCTTTCACCCAACCTAGAGGTATTCTACTTCACTTCTCTGGTTAGGAGAAGACTCAGAGAGGTCGTCCAGAGGGTCAATCCAAACATGACGATTCCCCTCCCTCCCCGCCTCCCCAGTACAATATGAGCCGGCTGGGGTGCCATTGTTGAAGGGTCAGAGGTGACCCTGGGTTCCTTGGGGGGGGCCCAGGCCAGCCAGGCAGCATTGCAGAGGATCAGGCAAGCATCAGAGCCCCACCAAAGGTCCCTGCTAAGAATGCAGGTCAGCTGGAGGAGTTGCAAGGGGAGGAGGGAGGGCCCTGGTCCTGCCCAGACAAGCCCAGCCAGCCCTACAGCTGCCCTCCTGTCCCTGGGGGCAGATAGGGGGAAAAGGAGGGACTCACTAGGTTTCTGGGGGTCTAATTTCCCCAGAACCAGGAAGACCAAAGAGGTGCCCTGCAGGAGAGCCTCAGGCAGGAGGTCACAGGTGAACAAGGCTCTGAGATAGTAAATCCAGCAACAGATGGAAACAGATGTGCATGTCCTCTCCCTGTCTCTCTCTCTCTCTCTCACACACACACACACACACCAATCTGGTTTCCTCTACAGCCCTTAAATCATCCTGATGCCTTTTTCCAAGGTTCCCTTAAACTCTGAGGCCCCCCCAAATCTCTTAGTTAGGGTGGGTCAATCTGAGAGCCGATCTCAGATGTTGCTGGAAAGTCCGGTTAAGGGTTGTAGGAGAATCCCATGTGGGGAAAACAATACATTTGGGAGGGGGGATAAAAAGTAAAAGGTACTTTGGGAAGGAGAAAGCACAATGACCAACCTTGTCCTACAGAGACAGAAAAACAAAACCAAACCTGGTCCCCCATCACCTCCCAAGCACCGGGCCTCTGGGGTCATGAGGCTTTTTCACCCAGTTGACATGACTTAGGTACCAACTGTGGACAGGCATTTCTAGTCTCTCCAAAGATAGTCCCGTGAGGGTGCGTCTGGGCACACTGGGTGTTTGCGTAACCCTGGCAGGTTTCTAGCTTTGAGTAGTAGCAGTAACCTTTCCCTCATACTTTCCAGCTGGGCAGACGCCCATCAGATATCTTGGCTGCCTTTCATCGCCTCGTCTCTGATAGGGATCACCCTGGGTGAAGAAATCGCTGTCAGTCACCCCCACTTCACTCACAGCCAGAGGGACCTGCTGACATGCATGCTCCCATGGGGGTGGGGAGAGGGAGCCAACACTTGAAGGGAGGGGATCTTAGGGAAGGCAGGACCTTATATGTGGAGGAAGGAAACATCTTGAAACTTCTCTTCTCCGTGGATGGATACTGGAGACTATCGGGCCCAGAGGCGGCCTTTCTTTCCTCATCCCCTCAAGGATAGGATCAGGTCCAAGCTCTGACCCAGCCAACTGGATAGAGGTGACGCTTGCCCGAGGATCCCCCTACCCAGTCCTCACTGTGGAGAAACAGAGTCAAAATACGAGATAGAGCTGGAAGAGGAATAAAGCCAGAGTGTGGTTGGTTGATGACTTTATTGTTGCATTAAAAAAAAAAAAAAAAAAACAAAAACACAGCCGGTTTTTCCCCCCCCCCCCCCCCCCCAAGTGGGTTCACAGCAGTTAAAGAAAAATAAAAATTCCTACATTTTCCTCTAGGGGAGCTGCCTGGAAGGGTGGGCAGCTGAGAAACCTAGACTGATAAAGAGCAGGACAGACAAAAACCTATCCGTAGCCCCACCTGCAGGCCTCAGGATTCAGGGCCTCTGGAAAAGGGAACCAGCCACGCACACCCCCACAGACACCCGTTTAGGAGTTCCCCTAAGAATGGTCACTGGAAGAGGTTGTCTTGGTAGCACAGGGAGAGGGTGGCTGGTTTCGATAGGTGGAGAACGCATCCCACACTCACCCACGGTGCCCTCCTTTCTCCCCTCTACACCTAGCCAGGCAACCTGCAGGCATGGCCAACTTTGCTCTTGCCCTAGGCCCTCCTTGTAAGAAAGGGGACCTCTGGCTAGGTTAACAGGAGGCGGGGAAAGATGGAGAATACAGAAAGAACCTTATTCTTAAACTACCTCAGGCCCCTAGGTCCCACAGGGAGTCACCTTGCCCCTTTTCAGGAGGAGGCCTTCCTACACAAATACATATTCCTACCCAGATCCCAGCCCCTACTTCCCATACAGCTCCCAATCCTTGGACAGGGCTCCAGCGTTGCCAACGAAGGAAAAGACGCTGTGGGTCTAGGCCCCAGACCTCGGACAGGCTGAACAAGATGGGGTCTCAGGAGACCCCAGGCTCAGTAGAGAAACACATAGATACGTACAGGGACAGACAAACACATACATACACACTCATGCCCTAATTATTAAATAAAATACCCTTTGCTTATAACTTAAAAATCAACACACAGCTATTCCCTGCAGAGGGTTCCGGGTGGAGAGAAGAGAGCAAGAGAGAGGTCGGTGAGACCCAAGGCCTCTTCCTCAAACCTGAGAGTGCCCCCAACCCCAGGGTCCTGCGGTCTGCCAGGCAGAGGTCTAACCCTCCCCACCCAAAGATCAAAACCCAAATGTATCTCTAGCATCTAAAGAAGGGGACACAGAGGTGTCACAGCTTCCTAGAATCCCTTCCAGTGGAGAAGGACTCTTCTCGTGGAAGATGCTTCCCTGGGGATGGAAGAGGGAGGACTCTACAGCTCTGAAGGGAACATGAGGGTCAAGCTAAAAAAAGAGGGGGGTAGGGGGGTCCAGGCAGGGGCAGGGTCTTCCACTGTAGTGCCTCTGCTAGGATAACCCCAAAGAGCCGAAGGATCCCTCTCCCTACCACCCCCAAAGAAAAAGCAAAGGATAGGGACTTGGGGGGTGGGTTGGGGGGGAATCTGTGTCAACCCTAGAGCTGGCGGTTGACTTCAGAAAACTACCTAGGGTAAGGGAAGGCAGACTCTTGAATTTGATTTCTTTCAAAAGGTCTAAGAGTTAAGGACTGAGTTAGTTATAAAGGGAAGGATCGGTTAGTTCTGCCGTCCCCTCCTGCCAAACTTCTTTCATTTTGTTTCATTTTGCCCTACTGGGTCCCTCTTCCCTGGCTAGCTCTGACCTCCCTTCCCACCCTCACAGCTCTTGGCTAAGGAGCTGTGCCCTTCCTGGCTCTACAGGCTGGATCGGGAAGGGTTTATAAGTAATTCATTGAAGGGAGTTCTTTCTATAGCAACAACCCTCCAAGCTAGATAAACAGCCCTTACGGGGAACCACCCCAGGCTCCCCCACCTCACCTCTGCTCTCTCTCCGGAAATTTTAGAGGGAGAAGCACTAGAAGGGGGATGAAAGGGACTTAGGCCGAAGGGCGGCTCCGAGGCGCTTTTATGTCCGGGTTCCCAGGAGCTGAAGACGTGTCCAGGCAGCTACCCCCAACGCCCCGAGCCGCCCCGAGCTTTTTCTTCAGCTCTTGGGACGTGCCACTTCCACCAGCCGAACCCCTCCACACGGCAGGGGTGCTCCATCCCAACTATTCAGCGACTCAGGGGAGGGTGAAAGACTGAGAAAGGGAAGAATCGAGGGGCGCGTTCAGCTCCTGGCAGCCTAAATAGTCAAACAGCCTCCCACTCAGCCCCAGAGACTAAAAAAAAAAAAAAAAACAAAAAACAAAAAACAACCAAACCCCTAGCGTTCCTCGCCCTGAGCCCTCACCATCAATAAATAACGACCTCCTCCCTCTTACTCAGGCCGCCCCTCCCCAATAAAGAACTGCAGGGATGCGCCATCCACGGGGCTCAGTTGGAGGACGCCGAGCTGCCTTCAGCCTCCCGTTTGCCTTTGCCCCCGGCCGGCTCCACCACGCCCCCGGCCTTGGCCTCGCCCTGGGCCGCCGCCGCCGCCTCCTCTTTGGCGCCTTCGTGGGTCTTCATGTGCTTGGCCAGGTGGTCGCTGCGCATGAAGACGCGGCTGCACACCGCACAAGGGAACTTCTTGGTCCCCGTGTGGGTCTGAAGGTGGCGCTGCAGCTCGTCGGAGCGCGTGAAGCGCTTGCCGCAGAAGAGCCAGTTGCACACGAAGGGCCGGTCGCCGCTGTGCCACCGCAGGTGCGCCTTCAGGTGCGACGTCTTGGCGTACGCCTTCCCGCAGCCCGGGATGTGGCAGTTGTGCAAATGCTTCTTCTTGCCCCCATCGGGCCCGCACGGAGCCCCGAGTCGCTCCGCCTCCAGGCAGTTGGGGCAGCGACACACGGTCTGCCCTGAGCTGCGGGGCACGGACCGCCGGGAGCCTTTGGGTCGGGCCGCCGCATCCAGGCTGGAATCCAGCCCCTGGGACTCCGGGGCCGCCGCTTCCAGGGCCTTGGCCCCGTCGGGTGGGCCCAGGAGGTGCTGCCCACCAGCGGCCGGGAGGAGGTGGTGCGGGTGCGGGTGGGGCGGCGGAGCGCAGAGCTGGTGGTCTCCGACGTATCCGCCCAAACCAGGCTGAAGCGCCCCCGGGTGGCCAGGTGAGGTCAGCGCTCCCTGAGTATGGGGGAGGTCCATCCAGCTGGTGCCGGGGTGAAGGTCCCACCACGAGCCATCCTCGGTGCCTGGGTGAGTCGGCCGGAACCACGATTCGTAGTGGTGTGACATGTCCGGCTGCAGGAGCTTGGAAAACGGTCCCGGGGCCAAGGGACTGTCACTTTCCAGGTCCTCGCAGGTTACCCGCGAGGAGGCCCCTGGCAACTCATAGCCCGGTGAGAAGTCTACCTCCGGGCCCAGCGGGAGGCTCTGCAGCTCTCCGGGCTGCAGCGGGGAGGGGTAGTCCCCGGCTTCCGGGCTCGTGTGACCCTGGTATGTCTGGAGAGGCTGCAGGTCGAGGCGCGGCGGTGACGCGTGAGGCGCTTCGGTGTGCTGGCTGCCCAGAGAGCCACAGACAGCGGTTAGCATTGCCGGGATCCGGGGTGGGGTGAGGGTAGGGACGGTCAGGGGCACCTCAGGTGGGACCTGGAGGAGGCAAAGACGAGACGTGAGGAGGGTGGCCTGCTTGCCCTCGCTTCTAACCCAGATCTCTCTCCAGCAAAGTGCTCCTTCCGAGGCCCAAGGAGGAAAAGAGGGGGCGTGCCTTGGGGTGGAGACTACAGATCAGTTAGAGCTTGGGAATGCTAGGAAGGATCGAGAATGTGAAAGTCTAGTTCTGGGCACAGGATGGCCTTTCCTCTAATTGACCCCGCCCTTAGGACTCAGATCATCCCGGAGCTGGGCAGGTCCCAATGCTGCCAGAACCATCTCTACACAGCTGCCTGGGCATCTCCCCCCTGTAGACCTGCTGGCGACCTAAATGGATGATGTAGCCCCAGTCTAACTCAGGTCACAGATGGGGTAGGGTTAGGCTATGTCTGCTTCTAGCTGTTTGAGGTGATTTGCCCTTCAGAAAGCCCAGAGCAGGCGCTGAGCTTTTTTGCCAGAATCAATCACTGTAACGATTTCGGGCAAGAAGTTAATCTCCATACGAAGTCCTCTCCCCCACCCCCCCCCCCCCCCCCGCCCAGCTTGGTGGACTCTGCTCAGCAAACCCGCTTCCCCACTCCCCCCCCCCTTCCCCTCTGTGTGAAGCGGGGAGGGTGTGATTACCAGAGAAAGGGATCCGCACAGAAGGGCTTGACAGAAACTCACAAAAATACAACTGCTGCTCCCTTAAGGGAGGCAGCACCAGGGCTTAAAAGAGACCGACATCCCTCATCCCAGAATTCAAGAGCAAGCGCTGAGAAACGCGGAGAAGCCTTTAGAAGACCCCAGCCAAGTGTTAAGCAAGCTTCTGTCCCGAGCCTGCTCTTAGTTAAAGAACGCCGAATTTGGATCAGTGACTGAAAATAAAATGCCCATTCAGTCATTCAATCAACCAAAAAGAGAGCTGTGTGAATCAGTTCTCTTTCTTAAAACACCAGAAACCTAAGGTCCAGCAGAAACCCAAAGATCTGGCCTGGGTGTGGTGATGCAAGCCTTCGATCTCAGCACTCAGGAAGTGGAAGCGGAAGAATGCAGAGTTCCAGGCCAGCCTAGGCTGCGAGTAGCGAAAGAAGGAAGGCAGAGAGGGAAGGAGGGAGGGAGAGGGAAATAAAAAGAAAGAGAAGAATGGCGGGGATCCCAAAGCCAGCACTCAGGAGGCTGAGACAGAAAGTTTCTGAGTTCAAGCCAGCGGGCTCCGCAATGAGACCCTGTTTCAAAGTAAATAAGTAAGTAAATAAATAAATGAGTGAAACCTTAAAACTTCCACCCCTTTCTCCACCATCGATCTGTGACTGAAGGTCCCAGTCTCTCCATCTCTCCCTAGAGCCTTGGAATCTTGCCTATGTGGGGGCTGGAGTAGAGGAGGCCAATGATTTAGGGCCTTCTCCAAGCAGGGCTCAGCTGACCCTACCACCTTCCGACTCTGGTGCCAGGGAAGTAGCAGGGATAGTCTAGGAGAGTCAGGAGAGAGGAGGACCCGGGTGCCTACTCAGGCTCTGGCTGCTTTACCACAAGAAAGGGAACAGGGTGAAGCAGCAGGAACGGAGCCTCAGGCCGGGGCGGGGCAGCCCAGAAGGGGTTGGGCGGGAGCAGTGAGGCCTGGGACCCTAATAGCTTTTGGCGCCTGGGAACTGCCCCAGGGTCGGGGGTAGGGGGTGGGGATGGGAAAGCTACGATGACCCAGGCTCCACAGGGGCCTCTCTGGACAAAAAGCCCGAACTCGGGCCTAGAGAGCAATGGCCTGCTATCAAGGTTGCACGAAAAGAAAGCAGAGCGAACACACAGGCGCCCCAACTCGAAAAGGACGGATGGGTCGCCCGTAAGTCCCACTGGATCGGCTGCCTCTCCCCGACCGTCGGTGGCCAGGCGGTGGGGAACTTCCGTTCAAACAAGGTTTCCAAAGTTCCAATCCTCCGGTCGTCCCAGTTGCTCCAGTTTCCCCAGTTCTCAAACTCCCTCGGTCCCTCCAGTCCCTCCCGTCCTCCCTGTTCTTCCCTCCGTCGGGGCTCGGAGTTCCTCGGCTGCTCTAGGACCACCCTCCCCCGAGAGGCCAGCGCGGGGCCCGTAGCGTGTTCCGAGCGCCTCCCCTCCACCCCCCTGCCCAGATCTCCGCGGCGTGCGCCCCCGGCCGCGCCGCCCCGGGCTCCTACCTGGCGGCTGCGCTCGGGCTCCGGGCACCGCAGGCTGGGCGCGCTACAGAGCGGCGCTCATGGACCCTGCGGGCTGGCCGGCTCTCGGCGGCGTGGGGCGGAAGCCGGGGGGCAGGCTGGGGCCGCGAGCGGACCCGGCTCCCCGCGACGGTGGCGAGGCGGTGAGAGCCGGCGGGAGGGCGCAGGGCGGGCGCCGCTGAGCGAGGAAGCGAGCGAGCGAGCTAGAGCGAGGCCAGCTCCGCCCGTGACTCACCGCGCTCTCTGCCTTCATCCTCTCCCCTGCGCTCCTTTTTCCCCCGGCGCTCGCGGCCCCGCCCACCTCACCTGCGGCCGCCTTTAACCCTTGCTGGCCCGGCTGGAGGCGAGGCCCAGCCCCGCGCGGGGAGGGTGGAGGAGGGGGCGGGCGAGAGGGAGCTCGCTCACCAGGCCGTCTGCCTCCCTCTCCCTCTCTCTTCCCACGTCCCCGCTACTCCGGAGTTAGGGGGCCTGGATGGGGAGTCCCCCCCCCCAAGGCTGGAGACCCGTCCGAGCCCGTGGCAATCCAGCCCGGACCCAGACCGTGGGCGGGGCGAAGGGCGCAGGGGCCCCGGGGGGCTCCCGAGTCTTCTCGGGGCGCGCGTGGCTAGCAGTGCTTTGGAGACCCACCTCTATTAGCCCTGCAGTGCTAGAACTGGGTGGGAAAGGAGGAAAAAGGGGACTGAAGACGAAGGGTCCGTCAGGCCCACCCATCCCCAGGCCTAGGTGACGAGACGTCTATCTTGGCTCCGCCGCTGCTCTCCCTCCGCCATCACCGCCTCGCGTCGAACCTCACCCGCCTGCTTTTCTAGGATCGTAGCCCTCTCTCCGGCCACTGGCCTTTCTGGGCGATCACCATCCCCCTCGACGTCTTCCCGAGTCTCCCAGATCCCCTCTCTCCCCACCTCCCCTTAGACGGCAAGCCGGGCGCCACCTAAGTCCACCTCCTGGGTCCGCCGCCTCCCTCCCTCCCTCCCTCCGGGCCGAGGTTGCTCAGCCAGCGCCCGGACACCCTCGCCGCCACACTGGGATCGGAGGGTTGGGCGGGCACCTGAATGGCCCTGGGAAGGAACTTTACGGCCAAGGATCGAGGGAGGCTTTTGGCCAAGGGCTCTTTCCGAGCCTCAGCTGAGTGTCTAGGTTGAAGGGAAAGGTCTTGGATTCCTTGGAGGAAATAAGCGCGCGGACGCAAGGCTGCGTGCCGGCACGTCCTCGGGGAATCCGGAGCGCCACTCGCCTAAACAAAATTCTCAGTACCCGAACTGGTGGAAATCCTGAGGCCTCCCCCTCCCCCACGGCTCAGGTGGGCGCCAGAGCCCCCCTAACTCTCTACCCTGATGACCTGACTTCTTCAAGGAGCTCAAGCGTCTCTCCCCGCCGCCGTCCCCCACGGTCCAAGCTCGCCCGTTGACCTCGCGGGGTGACTTGACCCTTTTGAACACGGAATTTCAGAGCGATTTTCGTTGTTTTTTTGTTTTTTTTGTGTTTCTTGTTTTTTTGTTTTTTGTTTTTTCGTTATAGCTGTTGGCTTTCCCTACGCACACATCACAGTCAATTTCCGAGAGTTCTGTAATTTAGGCTGATTTAATCTTGCCACTACGGACTCCCTTTCTTTCTCTTTCCTTCCTTCCTTCCTTCCTTCCTTCCTTCCTTCCTTCCTTCCTTCCTTCCTTCCTTCCTTTCCTTCCTGCCTTCCTTCGCTTTTTGAAGCTGGGTCTCCGAAATCACTCACGCTGGCCTCGAATATGCAGCCATCCCCCTGCCTCAACCTCCCAAATCTTCTAGGATCACAGGCGTGAGCCACCATGCCCGGCTTTCAGTTCTCCTTTCACTCCGAATAGTCTGCCAGCCCTCTGTCCGGGGGTGAGGCACACTGAAGGGTCACTTGGAAACATCTTAACGGAGTCCATCCCGCCTCTGAACATGAGCGTCTGTGTAGAGCTTCCCCGAGTCTCCGTGTCCCCGGCTCGTGTCCCCGGCGCTCGGCGCTTTAGTGACTTCACAGCTTTGTGATTCCTAAAGCTGGAGTCCTTCACCTGGGTACAAGCTGTGAGGGCTTCCTGGGGCTTAAGCAAACTGCACCTAAAGGAGCGAATTCCGTGAGGTCCCTGCTAGAAGCAGAATGAACCCTTAATCATTTTAAAATAAATTTGTTCCCAGAGACAGGTACAGATTAGGGCACCTTCACAAAGTTCTTTGGACTGAAAATACAAGAACCTCAATTCTGAACCCAGCGTTGCATCTGCTAGATTATTCTAAACCTCGGTTTCTTCAGCCAACCTGGGGAGCGGAAGGATGGGCATTTGGAAATGGAAGACATATTAAGGAGGGATTGGTGATGAGACAGAATTTCCCTTTTCCTTGCCCTTAGGATTACATAAACAGATTCTAAGAAAAGAAAAGAAAAGAAAAGAAAAGAAAAGGAAAGGAAAGGAAAGGAAAGGAAAGGAAAGGAAAGGAAAGGAA